AAATAATTAGGAACAACCAAATCCATGAGGATCTTTCAATTCTGACACAAATATGTAAAAACCTTAGTTGCTCTTTTAATTATTCTTATGTATGATGATTTTAATGTCTTCTGCATTAATGACTATTATGATTATCCAACATACAAAGGATATGCAGTCCCTGTTTCAGAAATAGAACTTAATTCTCCCCTCAGGTCTGGGTTGAAGGGTCTAATTGCATGCTCTCACTTAAGGGCACTGGATGTTTCTTATGTGAGACCCAATATATGTCACCTTGCCAACCAAGTGGTGAAGTGGATATGATACTGTTATGTTAGTACCTGATGCTGTCACCAGGAAGGTGCTCTCTTCATTTTTCTGCCATTATCTCTAATCTAGGTTCTTTTGTCTATAAACTTTGATCAAAACAAACCAAATAGAACTGGGATTTGGGGCCTTCTCTCCCCTGAAATCCCAAAATAGATAATTGAGGCTTTGGGCATTCCTGTGCTAGAACTTCCCCCTCTTAGTTTGGAGTAGCTGAGTTAAAGGCCTATCAGAAACTTTTATATTTTTGTAGCACAATGTAGAACGCTACTCTAATTGCCCTTGAAAAACAACAAGAAATGATTGACAGTCTGGCAGAAGTAGTACTACAAAACCAGGGCTCTAGATGTCTTAGCCACCCCACAAGGTGGTACTTTTGGGAGAAGAATGTTGTTTCTGTGTCAGCAAACCAGGTGAAGTAATACAACAGCTTGAGGTTCTGAAAAAAATATGTAAAATCCTCAAATAGGCAGAACATTAACCCTATAAACTGAGATTAGACAGACTTATCTAACTGGCCTGCAGGAATAGGAGCCTGGATTTGTTCTATATTTCAGGCCTTGACCATATTATTATTATTTTTGTGTGTGTGTGATTATACTGTTTACTATTATACCTTAATTATGTATCTTTTTGGGTGCCTTGAACAATGACTATCAGCCACTACCAGAATAATAGTAGCCCAATGCCCAGAGATGTTACAACGAATAAATCCTGACAAGACCACCTCTACAAAGAACTTTTAATTTGAAGAATATGTGACTTAGCTCAATTTCTAGTTAGCCTCCTTGTTGCTAAGATGTGGCCATAAACTCTCCTATTGTACACTCAGGAAACTACTTTTCCTCCTACATGGGACATGACATACCAGGAATGAGTCTTCCTGGTAGATGGGATCCATGTTGCTTTTTTAATGACGGACCATGGATGCTTCCTAATGGTTGATCATTGATACTTGATAAGGAAAAATCTTGATCTAAAGGGGGAACTGTGGAAGAAAAACAGCAAAATTGACTTGATATTGTCAAGAGAGCTATCTAAAGGTATCCAGGAAGCTGAGCTAACACCTACCCCCTCAACTCTCCCCCCCAACACACACACACACACACACACACACACACACACACACACACACACACACACGTGAAAAGGAACTTTTGAACTGGGCTAAACCACAAATGGAACTGGCTCTACACCACTGAACTCTCTATTAAGAAATAAAATTTTCACCTAGCAGTAGACAGGCAATAATCATGAATACGGTAGATGGCATAGTGTAAGTCTGCTTAACAGCACCAATCACAGCTCTTTTAAAACAACGTTGTCACCCCTTTGGCAGTGCCATTCTTTCTGTCTTCATAAATTCTCTCTTTTCCCCTCAGAACACAGTTGAATTTTTACTCAAATTTGTAGTACCAGAATTGCAATTTCTAAGGACCACAAATAAAACTTTTTTGCTTTGCAGTTCTTGGGCAAATCACTAAAGTTAGAAACCAGGAAGAAAAAGATCTATGTATTTGATTGCATCAGAATATGATCTTTGTGACAAAAAGAAAAAAAGGCACATAACTAGGGAAAATATTTGCAATGTATGAAATTCTATTATTTCTAAATATTTGCAATGTATGAAATTCTATCAACACATGCTGATTTGATACACTTATTTATTGCAAAATGAGTTCCACAATAGGGTTAGTTAGTATCTCCATCATCTCATATAATTAACATTTGCTTCTGGTATTTCTCTCAAGGAAATAATAATCAGGAAAGCATACAAGTATGCTCATCATAACCCAAAAAGTCAACAGTTATATACAGCACTAGAGGCCTGGTGCATGAAATTCGTGCATGGGAAGGGGGTCCCCTCAGCTCGGCTTGCATTCATTCCAATCTGGGACCCCTCAAGACCTCTGGCTCCTAACCACTCACCTGCCTGATGGCCTGATCTCCCTAACTGTTCTCCTCTGCCAGTTTGATCCCTTTAACTGCTCTCCCCTGCTGGCTTGATCTTCCTAACTGCTCTTCCTTGCCTGCCTGATCTCTAACCTCCTCTGCCTCGACCCCACCAATATGACTTTGTCCGGAAGGACATCCGGAAGGTCACCTGCAAGATGTTCAATCTAATTAGCATATTACCCTTTTATTAGTATAGATGCCACCTTGTCCTAAAAAGGCAGATTGTTCCCAGGTTTTCCTATAGTGGAAGGGAAAGCCTGAAGTAGCATCCTGGGTTCTGACCAGGGCTTATATGCTTTTGCTTTATCTCAGCAAATGTGATTTCTAGAAGAAGACTCTTGGATGTGCCTTGAACATTTCTATTGAATTTACCAAGTCATCCTCCCAAAATGTTGAACCACTTTAAACTCCCACCGGCAACCATGCCTGTGCCCTCTGTCCCACTTTGATGCCAGTATCATTGATTTTGCCCTAGAAGCTTCCCTCCCATCAGTTGGGACTGCTTGGTACTTGAGCCAATCTCATTGTTCAGCTGGGGACTTGATTTCCCAATATATAATTATGGAGGAGGAAAAATAGTTTTTCTCTATCTTTCTAAGTTCTTAGTGGAGGCCCTTGTAATGAAAGACAGATCACTAAGAGAAAAACAAAAGTTCATTAACATGTGTATCTTGTATATATGTGGGAGATCCCAGGGGAAAATGAGTGACTCCCCAAGGTGACTTAGAATGCAGATTTAAACACTTTCTTCCTAGGGAAAGGGGATGGGAGATGTAGGCCTCTTAGAGGAGAGTAAGTGATTTTTAGGAAAGATGAATGGGGGAGGGGATAGTTTATAAAAAAGTTTGGGTATGATGTCAACTTCTACTCTCCTGTCCTGTGACAGGAGTCAGTCTTCTTTACCTGATGACACTTCTCCCATCAAGAGGACCTATGACATTTAAGCTCCTTTTGGGGGTTCGATTTTAAGCAGATCAGGAGACTTCAGTGAAAGCCTCTGCATGCATTTGCTGTTTTTCAAGCATCTGCAGCTCAAGATCATCAGTATAACAACACAGCCCGTGTTGGGGTGGCATGTTCTCTGACCTTCAGAATAAACCCAACAGAAGCTCGTTTCCTCTCTTAGGTGATTTGCCACAGTAGCATTATTCCCTGGAGATGGTATTCTGACCAGATATTCCTGGGAGTGGTCATACATACCCTGTGCTTGTAGAAAGGTGTGGGACATGTCACTAAATAAACCAAGATCAGTTTTCTTATCTTGTGGAAAGGGAGATAAAGTTATGATAGTTTAATCTCCCTTTTCACAGGTTTCTTGTGGGTTTGTGTCTCCAATCCAGCCCCCAATACCCCCAACACCGCAGTGGTGGGCCTTGGGGCTGCTGGGTGCTAGGCCTGCGGGTTTGTGTCTCTAATCCAGCCCCCAGAAGCCCCAGCATCACCTGGCCACTATGGGCATCATCATCTTTGTTGGGCTAATTTGCATACTCACTCCTGATTGGCTGGTAGCGTAACAGAGTGACCATCGTGTTTTGCAAGTTTCTCTTTTATTAGTGTAGATATATAAACAAAGTAACTTTATTGCTTCCTAAATCAGCCTAAATGTTCAACTTAGTGTTTTGCCATATAAGATGAATTTAATGAGCTATGAAATAGTATGCAACCATAATTATTTTTGTAAAAAGTGCTCGTAAGTATATATGATCTGATCTCATTTTTCATCAAAGACTTTTTTTTTTACTCAAAAAAACATGAAAACTACGCTTACGTTTTTCTTTGGGTATTGGTACTTTGGGTAACTTTAGTTGAAGTAGTTAGAAACATGGCCTTTGGAATTAGGAAGAACTGGTTTCCAAATCTAGCTCTGCTCCTTTTTTGATTGTGTAGTTTGTGCTGCTGTTTAAACTCTGGATGCCTCAGTTCCTTCATTAATAAAAGGGCAATGATCAGTCTCTCAAGGGTGTTTGTATATGTACGTGTGTGTATATGTGCATATGTGAGAGAGAGAACAAGAGACAGAATATTAAGTAATAATGTATACAGCATACTTAGTACCCTTCCTGGTAAGAGTCCAATAAATAGAAATACTTATTCTTATCATTTGTATAATTTTTCTAAATTGTCTGAATGTTTCACAATAATAACATATTACTTTTATATTCGGAAAAGTAAAGCAATTTCTATTTTGGAAAAAAGTAAAGGAAAATATTTTTGAAGAGAGAACTCAGAATACTTTGAAGTGAATCTGCTATTTGTTGCCCTCACGTGAATATTCAGTAATTCTGGGTATTTTTGTACTAGGTCCCAAAAATAAGAATGAAGGAGGTAAATATTCCAGGTAAGCAGTGTTAGTTCCCTTTAAGTGTTTGGTATGTGAGAGACGCATAGCTAGAATGTCTAATAACCGTCCGGAACTACTGGAAGAGAATAAGCATCTCCACCAGTGGATTCTGCTTCTCAGGTCTAGTGTGACTTTGTACCCACCCCTGTATTCTCAGCAGTACTTTTTGTTCCTATGAAGACATTAGCAGCACTAGAAGGTGTACCTCCAATGGGAAATAGGCTTGTGGGTTTTTTTTTCCTGCTTTATGTATCTATCTTCACACAGACATGCTCTATATTCCTTGCTGTATTTTCCATACTCCAGTTGTCTGTTATGACCCCCAAAACACTGAATATGGAATAGACGTTTATATTTGTAGAAAAATTTGATTTTTAAAATCATGTATTTGTTCCAGATTTTACATCCTGAAGTCAAGACTCTAGATCTACAGAGCTGTGATATTTCAGATACTGCTCTGCTGCACCTGAGTAACTGCAGAAAACTAAAGAAATTAAATTTAAATTCCTCAAAAGAAAACAGAGTTTCTATATCTTCAGAAGGTATGTTTATTAACATTGAATGAATTGGCGAATTAATATTCACCATCTGGTATAGTTTAGGAACAAAAAAAGGGGGAAATATGTCAAAAGAAAGTATGAAGATGTCAAAGAAATAGAAACTTACGTTTATCAACAAAAATATTCAAACTAAGATAAAGAATCCAAATTAGAATTCTTGCTTATAAACAGTGCTGAAAGGTAAGAAACACACTGGGCAAGTCACTATTTGAGAAATTTTAAAATAAACATGGGTGGATACCTCTATATTTTAAATATTTTGCCAGATACAGTGGAAGAAGAAATGACCAGTTCACACTTTGTTAAGGCTTTTTGGATGCAATATTACAACAGAAAAATTATCATCAGTTTAAACTTACCAGGCAACTCTCCTATCAGCCTGTACAATGCATAGCTTTTCACTATAGCCAGACAACTGCATTTTTCAGTGTCATTATTATATGAATTAGTGGATTTTTCAGAGAGATGAATTAATAGATTTTTATATTTTTTTTTTCAAAATAAGATTTTTTTACCTTTTTCTTTTCTATAAGAAAGAGGGACTTATTTGGCTAAGTTTCTGGAAAATTTTGTGGGTTGATTATTTTGCTGACTATATTTTATAATCATCTCAATTAGCAAGTTAGGATTATCACAATATTGCAAAAAGAAGCATAAGTTTTTAAATGTTTATGCAAATAATGACTCATTAAAAAGAACTTTTATTCTATACAAAGAGAATAAAAGAAAAGTTCTTTAAGATATGAAAACAATAAAAATGACCTATACATACATTTATCATCTTCTATTTTGTGTATTTTGCCCATAAAGTTATCTTTTCACAGTGGACTGAAGAGCCCAGGATCCTGAAGTACTCTTTTATTTATGTGGCACATTATCATGTGCCAGTCTCCAGTGTGCACTCGCATCAGTTTAATTAGTAAGATTGGTCCAGGCTAGCAGAGCAGGAGCGTGGTGGTAAAAAAGGGCAAAGTCAAGGAGGGGAGAGGGAATGCATAGACAGGTGTGATTCCTAAGGATAAGCATGGAAACGTTACTTAAGACATTTGGGCAATTTAACTTTGATTTTTCTTCAGAGGCCACAAGAAAATTGACTTTACTACTTTAAAAATTTTGTTTTAACAAAAAGAATTGTACTATTTAATTACATAATATGGTTCTGAATTGCTTGGATATATTCTAAAAGCAAATCTGCTCTCTACTTATAAATAATAAAAGCTGACCATTAATAGCAGATATTCTGAAGAATATACTACAGACTGTGTAGAGAATTCCTGAAACAGTACAAAGACTTTTAAATAATGGCAGCGTCACTGATAAATAAGTATATCCTCACAGATGAACTATTTTGAAAGGGATGTCATACAGGTAGATGTATCATATCAGTACTAGTGATCAGTTAAGTGAAAATCAGTCATATTTCTCATCTATATACATTTATAGCTCATTGATACATAATTGTGTTTTCCCCAGGAATAAAAGCAGTGGCTTCATCTTGTACATACCTGCATGAAGCTTCTTTTAAAAGATGCTGCAGTCTCACTGATGAAGGAGTCCTTGCTCTTGCACGCAATTGCCGGTTGCTAAAGGTCATTGATTTAGGTGGCTGCTTAGGTATTACTGATGTGTCCTTACATGCATTAGGAGAAAACTGCTTTTTTCTGCAGTCTGTCGATTTTTCAGCTACGAAGGTAAATGAAATATAGACTTGAAATATAGAGGTTGCATGTGTTTTCCCAATGTATTTTTAGTGACTCATTAGAAGAACATAATTACTTTTATTGAAATTGTTGACTACTTCATGCTTTGGTGGTTAAATAATTGCAGTATAATTTGGCACATTCTGCTCAGTTATTTTAAGTAAGGGTGGAGGGTATATGTAGCTAAAACACATATTTGCTGAATGGGAGGCAATAAAGTTATATCTAAATGATTAACAATTTTTAGAAAATTTTACTTTGTCCCAATTATGTGCTGTGTTGCTTTTTCCCTTTGCTTAGGTATCTGACAATGGTGTGGTTGCGCTTGTTAGTGGACCTTGTGCTGAGAAACTAGAGGTAACGTAAAAATATCTATAAAGATGATGCTAACAAACTTCTTAAATATTCAGAATTTATTCTTTAAATCTAGCAGACAACCATTTCCAATTAGGTATTTTCATGAATTTTTGGGGTCTCTAACTCTTTCTTCTCAGAGTAAAGAAAAATTGATGAAGTAGGAGATAAAGTATATTTAAAAATAAAAACCTATTGCTCTGGCCAGTGTGGTTCATTTGGTTAGGCGTTGTCCCATGCACTAAAAGGTTGCTGGTTCGATTCCCAGTCAGGGAACATGCCCAAGTTGTGGGTTGAATCTAGTAGGAGACATGCAGGAGACAGCCGCCAATGCATATTACCCTCTCACATTGATGTTTCTCTCTATCTCCCTCCCTCTCCCTTCCTCTCTAAAAAAGTCAATTAAAAAATCTTTAAAAAAACAAATACCCATTTTACTTCTAATGAAACATCTTACTTTCCAGAAGTTTTAGCTTCTAACATATTTAAGGATAGTCTTATTTTAGATGAAGACTGAAAATTTATCAATATAAACTAATAGTCTTTAGAATTTTCATATCTGACTGATATTTCTACCAGGACTACTTATTCTCTTGCCTTTATATTTTTCTGGATCTTAGAAGGGATCCATAAAGGACACCACTATGGCATAAAATTATTTTTAGCTGAAGATTTTTGAGAACCAACCAATGCAAAAAAAGAAAAAAGAAAAGCTTTGAACTACCACCCTTCTCCCATCTGCCTGAAAGCAGAGCTTCTAAAAAGGATTCACTTGCCATCAAACTCCCTTCAAGGAAGGCTTCCCATACTGCAGAGGTCACTCCTATCACTGGAATTCCAGACACGCTCTGGAGCCATTCTGTAGTCCCTCCCTGGCTGTCCCTCCCTAGCTGGCCAATTTCCAGTGTTCCTCCCCAGCCCGATCGTGCATCAGTGGTGTCCCTTGGCCTGGCCTGCAGCTTGTCACAATCTGGGACCCCTCAGGGTATATCAGAGAGTCAGCTTTGGGCCGAACTGGCAGGCCAGGCAGAGGGATCCTGCTGATGCATGAATTCATGCATTGGCCTCTAGTAAAAAAAAAAAAAAAAAAAAAATATATATATATATATATATATATATATATATATATATATATATATATATATATATATATATTGTTGTTTTTTTTTACAGAGAGGAAGAGAGAGGGATAGAGAGTTAGAAACATCAATGAGAGAGATATCGATCAGCTGCCTCTTGCACACCCCCTACTGGGGCTGTGCCCGCAACCAAGGTACATGCCCTTGACCAGAATCGAACCTGGGACCTTTCAGTCAGCAGGCCGAAGCTCTATCCACTGAGTCAAACCAGTTTCGGCTAAAAATATATTTTAAAAAAAGATTAGAACATTTGCTTCACCCTGTAGTTAGCCCCCTGCCATAGCCCTTCCCCCAAGCAACCACTGATTTACTTTGTCCTTATACTTTTACCTTTTCTAGAATTTTTTATAAATGTAATCAAGAAGTATATAGTCTTTTGGGTTTCTTACTCTCTTCTTTTACTTCTTTCACTTAGCATAATGATTTTGAGATTCATCCATGTTGTTGATTGCATTAATATTTCATTCCTTTTATTTATTTTTTGCTAACTAGTATTCTGTGTATGGATATGACACAATTTGTTTTTACATTGACAATTTGGTGGACATTTGGGTTGTTTCAATTTGCACTATTATAAGTACCGCTGTAGACATTTGCATACAAGTCTTTTTTTTTTTTTAATAAATCTTTATTTTTTCAGATTATTACAGTTGTTCCTCTTTTTATCCCATAGCTCCCCTCCACCCAGTTCCCATCCCACCCTCTGCTCTTACCCACCCCATCCTCACCCATATGTGTACGATTTTGTCCAGTCTCTTCCCACATTCCCCACACCTCTTTCTTCCTGAGAATTGTCAGTCCACTCCCTTTCTATGCCCCTGATTCTATTATATTCACCAGTTTATTCTGTTCATTAGATTTTTTATTCCCTTGATTTTTAGATTCACTTGTTGATAGATATGTATTTGTGTTCATAATTTTTATCTTTACCTTTTTCTTCTTCTTCCTCTTCTTATAGAATACCTTTTTCATATCCTCAAGGGTCTTACTAAATTTATCAGCCTTTTCTAGAAAATTCTTGAAAAACCTTATAACTTAGTTTGTTTTTTAAAAAATATATATATATTTTATTGATTTTGAACAAAGAGGAAGGGAGAGAGATAGAGAGCTAGAAACATCGATGAGAGAGAGTCAGAGTCATCGATCAGCTGCCTCTTGCACACCCCCTACTGGGGATATGCCCGCAACCAAGGTACATGCCCTTGACCAGAATCGAACCCGGGTCCTTTAGTCCCCAAGCCGACGCTCTATCCATTGAGCCAAACTGGTCTTAACCTTATAACTTAGTTTTGAGCCCTATATCCTCTATTTCTTTCATTTGTGACCTGTTCTTTGTCTCCACATTTTGGCTGCTTCCCTGTGTTGATAGATTGGCTTAATGTGCTAGGTGTCTTATAGGGCCCAGTGGCTCAGTGTGCTTTTCTTTGTTTTTGCATATGAATGGCCTGGTCCTTTGAGAAGACACATTGCTCTATCCACTGAGCCAAACCGGTCTTGGCACCATACTGTTTTCCATACTGTTTTCCAGAGTCTGAACTAACATTATGTTTGAGATGTGAGTCTATTAATACAAGTAAATATTTTTATATTATTCTATTATATTAATGAACCACCATTTATTTAGCCAGTCACCACTTCTTTATTGTTGTAAATAATATTACAATGGGGCATATTTATAAATTGTTTCCTTGTACACATGTACAAGAGTTTCTCTCTATATAATAGACATCAGCAGTTGGAATTGTTGGGTTCTAGGGTATACTCATCTTTAGCTTTGCTAGATATTGCCAAATCCTACCTAATAAAAAAGAAACATGCAAATTGACCACACCTTCGCTATGCCCACAAGCCCCGCCCAACAGCCAATCAGAGTGAGGATGCAAATTAACCCAACCAATATCCAGGCCAGAGCGAAGTCTGTTATTATACTGTTTTCATACTGTTATTATAAACCTATTTTTTTCTTTTGATTACCCTTCATTTTTAAATAGGAGATTCATATGGGACATTGTGTGAATCTGACTGATGAGTCTGTAGAAGCTGTCCTTACTCGCTGTCCTCAGATACACATATTACTGTTCCATGGATGCCCCCTGATAACAGGTTAGTATGATAGACTGCTTAGGCTCAAATCCTGCTTTCATCTTTTAATAACTGTGTGACCTGGAGTAACTTATTTTACCCATTCCATTATTCTGTGTCCTCATCTGTAACATGGTATAATGACAGTACCTACCTCAAAAACTTGGTCACAATGAGTATCTGACAATACTTTACATGATGCCTGATATAAGGGCTCAGTAAATGTTAGTCGTGGTGGTGGTGGTGGTGGTAAGTGTTAATGTTAATTGTGATGAGGATGAGAATGGTGGTAGTGACCATGATACTAAACGATGCTTTACAATATCACATTTATCAAATATGCTAAATGACCTGTTAGCTATACTCTCATCATGCTGTAGCCATTGAAGTTCAGAATAATTTGTAATGTGATACTTCACTGAAGAAGAACAAAGTAGTCATAACCCATTTGGCCAGTATAAGAGCCATGATACCACCATGCTTCTGAAAATGCAGCACCTCACCTCTTTTGTATTATCCAGACCATGCTACCCTTCCCTCTGGCCATCACCAAACTGTTGTCTGTGTCTATGCATTATACATATATGTTATTTGGCTAATCCCTTCACCTTTCATTCATCCAATCCTGCCCCCTCTGACAGCTGTCAGTCCGTTTCATGTATCCTTGCCCCTATTTCTATTTGGTTCGTCAGATTATTTTGTTCATTAGATTCCACATAGGGGTGAGATCATGAGATACTTGTCTTTCTTTGACTGATTTATTTCACTTAGCAAAATACTCTCCAGGTCCCTCTATACTATATCAAATGGTAAGAGATCCTTCTTTTTTTATAGCTGCATAGTACTCCATTGTGTAAATGTACCACAGCTTTTTATTCACTCATCTACTGATGGGGCACCTGGGTTGTTTATAGATCTTGGCTATTGTAAATAACGCTGCTATGAACATCAAGATACATATATTTTTTCAAATTGGTGTTTTGGGATTCTTAGGACATATTCCTAGAAATGGAATCACTGGGTCAAAAGGCAGTTCTATTTTTAATTTTTTGAGGAAAGTCCATACTGTTTTCTGCAGTGGCTGCACGAGGGTTCCCTTTTCTCCACATCCTCACCATCACTATTGTTTGTTGAGTTATAGATGGCTGCCATTCTGGCAGGTGTGATATTTCATTATGGCATTAATATGCTTGTCTCTGATGATTGTGACATTGAGCATTTTTTCATTTGTCTATTGGTCATCTGTCCTTTTTGGAGGTGTTTATTCAGGTCCTTTGCCCATTTTTTAATTTGGTTGTTTGTCTTCATGGTGTTGAGTATTTAAATTCTTTATATAATTTGGAAATTAACCCCTTATTAGATGTATCGGCAAAATCATTCTCCCAAACAGTGTGTTCCCTTTTCCTTTTTTTTTTTTTAAACAAATCTTTATTGTTCATATTATTACAAATGTTCCTCATTTTTTCCCCTCTATTGCTCCCCTCCACCAGGTTCCCACCTCACCCTCTGCCCTTTCCCCACCCCCCATTGTCCTCATCCATAGGTGCACAGTTTTTGTTCAGGCTCTTCCCACACCCCCACTTCCCCTTTCCCCAAGAATCGTTAGTCCACTCCCCTTCCATTCCTTCTGATTCTATTATATTACCAGTTAATATTGTTCATCAGGTTTTTTTTAATTCCCTTGGCTTTTAGTTTCACTTGTTGATAGTTACGTATTTGTTGATCATAATATTTATCTATATCTTCTTCCTCTTCCTAAAGAACGCCTTTCAGCAATTCATATAATTCTGATTTGGCAGTGATGAACTCCTTTAGCTTTTTTTATTTGTGAAGCTCTTTATCCGGCCTTTGATTCTGAGTGATAGCTTTGCTGGGTAGATTTATTTTTGGCTGTAGGTTCTTGCTATTCATCACCTTGAATATTTCTTGCCATTCCCATCTGGCCTGCATGGTTTCTGTTGAGAAATCAGCTGACAATTGTATAGGTGCTCCTTTATAGGTAACTATCTGCTTTTCTCTTGCTGCTTTCAGTATTCTCTCTTTGTCTTTTGCTCTTGGAATTTTAATTATGATTTGTCTTGGTGTGGTCCTCTTTGGATTCCTTTTGTTTGGAGTTCTGTGCACTTCCTGGACTTGTAAGTCTAATTCTTTCACCAGGTAGGGGAAGTTTTCAGTCACTATTTCTTCCATTATTTTTTCAGTATCTTGCTCTCTCTTTTCTTCTGGCACCCCCATAATTCTGATGTTGGTTTGCTTGAAGTTGTCCCAGAGATTTCTTACACTATCTTCAACTTTCTGGATTCTCTTATCTTCTTGCTTCTGTGGAGGAGTGTCTTCTGGCTCTTTGTGTTCCAAATCTTTGATTTGATTCTTGCGATCTTCCATTCTGTTTTTAGGACTCTGTAATATTTTTTATTTCAGACAATGTATTCTTTATTTCTAGTTGATCCCTTTTCATATCCTTATAGGTCTCGTTTATTTTATCAGCCTTTTCTAGGAAATTCTTGAAAAACCTTATAAGCATGGTTTTGAACTTTATATTCAGTCGCTTCTTGTCCTTCATTTCTTTTGTTTGTGATCTGTTTCCTTGTCTCGTCATTTTCACAGCTTTCCTGAGTTGGTAGGGTGGCTTTGTGTGCTAAGGTGTCCTATATGGTTCAGTGAGTCAGCCTCCCAGTTACCTGAGGTGGACAGTCTTGGTGTAGCCCTTTGTGGGCTGTGCGTGCAGCCTTGTTGTTAAGCCTTGCTTGTTGTTGGTATCACTGGGAAGCGTTGATCTCCAAGCCAATTGGCTATGAGGATCAAAAGTGCCTCAGCTAAGAGGGTTTCTGTATTCCACTTGGATGGGCAGAGTCTCAGGGTGGCACAGCCAAGCTTTGTTGAATCCCGCACAATTGGTTGCAGACAAGCTTTAGATTCCTATCTGCCCCTCCCTAGGAGAGTCCTATTGGCAGCGAATGAGGAAGCTAGCCACTGGAAGGGCTTCTGTGCTCCGCTTGGATGGGGCGGAGTCTCGGGTGGTGCAGACAAGCTTTATTCAGCCCCTCCCTATGAGGGTCTGGTTTCTGAGTCCTGCAGTAATGGCTTCACACACCTCTGAGAGATCTTTGCCCACTGTCTGACAGTCTGGTCTCTCCCTGTCTGGGGCCATCTATCAGTGCAATAGGGTTGTTCTGTTTTCCTCCCGAACAAGAAAGCCAGCCGCGCTTTGGCTGTCCGCCCTCTCCGCACGCAGGAGGTAAGCCTGTAGCGAACTCGGCCCGCCCTCTCTGCGCTCTGCAAGCAAGCGGGCAGCGAACTCTGTGGCACCTTTTCGCGCACACAGTTCTCTGCACCTTCACAGTTCCTGAGGTTCAGCACGCCTTCTTTCTCCTTCCCAGATGGTAGAGCCTCCTCCCAGCCAGCCGTCCGACGCTTCAGGGTGATGTTTCCCCTGTTTTTCAGTTCTAAATTCAAATTTGTTGTGGTAGGCTGCATTCGGGTGTCTACCCTATGCCGCCATCTTGGTGTTTTTCCTTGTCAATTTTTTTTAAGAGAGGATTTTGGTGAGATTGCACTGAAACTGTAGACTTGGGAGGTATTGCCCTCTTAATATTAAGCCTTCTGATACATGAACATGGATGTCTTTCCATTTATTTAAATCTAATTTTTTCAATAATGTTTTCTAATTCTTAGAGTATAAGTTTTGCACTTTTCAAATTTATTTCTAAATAGTTTTTCTGTTTTGATAATATAAATGGAATTATTTTCATTACATTTTTGGATTGTTCATTTCTGGTGTGTAGAAACACATTTGAATTTTATATATTGATCTTCTACCCTGCAACCTTGCTGACCTCATTTATTACTTCTAATCTTTTAGAGGATTCCTTAGGATATTTTATACCTGAAATGTATTTCAGACATCTAAAAATATAGTTTTACTTCTTCCTTTCCAACAAAATGCCTTTAGTTCCTTTTTTCTTCCTAATCCCCATGGCTGGAACCTCAGTCCAATGTTGAATAGAAGGAGCAAGGGCAGACATTCTTGTCTTGTTCCTCTTTTCAGGGGAAAGACATTGAGTGTTTCACCATTAAATATGATATTAGCTGTGGGTTTTCCATAGGGGCCCTTTATTACGTTGAGGAAGTTCCCTTCTATTCCTAGATTGTTGAATGGTTTTATCATGAGTATTGGATTTTTCAAATGCTTTTTCTGTGTCTATTGAGATGATTATGTGAGTTTTGTCCTTATTCTATAGATATGATATATGTCATAGGTAGAATAATGCCACTACCCAGAGATATCCATGTTCTAATGCCCAGAACCTATATGTATGTTATGTTAAAATGGAATTTAAAAGTTATTTATTAGGCCGAAACCGGTTTGGCTCAGTGGATAGAGTGTCGGCTTATAGACTGAAAGGTCCGGGGTTCGATTCCGGTCAGGAGCATGTTCCTTGGTTGCGGGCACGTCCCCAGTGGGGGTTGTGCAAGAGGCAGCTGATCAATGGCTCTCTCATCGATGTTTCTAACTCTCTATCCTTCTCCCTTCCTCTCTGTAAAAAATCAATAAAAATATTTTTTTAAATAAAGAAAGAAATTAAATAAATAAGTAAATGTTTATCAGGCCCGGCTGGTGTGGGTCAGTGGTTGAGTGTTGACCTATGAACCAGGAGATAATGGTTCAATTATCAGTCAGGGCATACTTCAATTGCAGACTCGATCCCCAGTGTGGGATGTGCAGGAGGCAGCTGATCAATAATTTTCTCTCATTATTGATCTCCTTCCTTCCTTTCTCTCTCTTCTCTCTCTTCCTTTCTCTCTAAAAGTCAATAAAAATATATATTTTTAAAAAAATTGTTTATCAGTTGACCTTAAAATAGAGAAATTATCCCTTACTATCCAGTTGGGCCCAATATAATCATAAGTCATTACAAGTACAGGAGGGAGGCAAAAATAGGGAATCATCGAGATGAGAGCTGTCCGATGCTGTTCACTTTAAATATGGGAGAAGGCAAGGAATGTGGTGACTTTACAAGCAGGAAAGTCAAGGAGGTGGGTTTGTCCCTAGAGCTTCCAAAAAGAAATGCTGACCTGCTAAAACCTGATCTTAGCCCAATGAGAACCATTTTGGAATTCTGATCTCTAAAACTGCAATAATAAATGTGTGGTGTTTTAAGCCATTAAGGTTGAGGTAACTTATTACAATAGCAATAGGAAATTAATGCAATGTATTATATGAATTAATTTTCAGATATTAAATCAGTCTTGTATAGCTGAGATCAGTGTCAATAAATGATGGCATATAATACTTTTCATATGTTGTTAGATTTGGTTTGTTCATATTTTGTTGAGGACTTTTGAGTACACATTTATAAAAGGGTTGTGTGTGTGTGTGAGTGATACCTTTGTCTGGCTTTGGTGTCAAGGTAATACTAGTCTCATAGAATGAGGTGGGAAGTGATATTTCTATTCTATTAGTATAGCCATTCTAACTTTATTATAGTTGTGTGCATGATATATCTGTCCATCCTTTTACTGTCAACCAATTAGAAACCTATCTTTAATCTAAATTTCCTATATAATAAATGTCAAGTTATCCTGTTCTAGTAACTGTTCCGTCCCTAACCTTTTACCTGTTGGCTTTCTTTAATGCTGTTCACTCCTTTGTAAATAGTTGCTTCATTAAACCCTGTTCAAACACCCCGTTTTAGTGCATCATCTATTTCCTACCAAGAGATTAAGAAAGACTATACACAGGTTAATGGTAAAATTACACAATTATTCTTTGGTTGATGAAATTACAGAGAAAATAACATATGCCTGATTTTTAAAAGTATTTTGTATGATATGTGCACTGCAGCTAATAACTGTGATGGTTACTATTAATTAAATGTATTGTTAATTGTAGATTATCCTTATATATCATCTTATTTAATCCTTTACAGAAGACCGGAAAAAAACCAAGCCACACTTAGAGAAAGAGGGTTACATTTTATTAAGTGCAGGGCCAGAGAAAAATGTGTCTTTCAAAATCTGGGCCCCCTTACATGGAGGAAACCTTTCTTATTTATACTTTTCCTAGCTCTTTTGTCTCCCAAATTTGGAACGAGACTCCCAGGCCTTCTGGGAAAGAAGGCCTACATACTGGGAAGGGACCATGAGACCATATCTCAGAGCCTGACCTGGTGTCAGCACTGACAACTCTGTCTGGGGCATAATCCACGGCCTCTCTGGAATGGGAGTAATCTTATATTCCTTATTATTTAAGCAAGCAAGTATTTACAGAAGCTAAAATAGCAGGGTTAAAATTTCTTTTTCTTTTCATTTTTTTTAAATTAAGGTATTATATGTGTACATATCTTACCATTGCCCCCCCCTCCCACTTCCGTACATGCCCTCACCCCCCAGAGTTTTGCGTCCATGCAGGGTTAAAATTTCAAACAGTTTTTATATAAGATGGATGCTTCATTATAAGATACAATAGTTATCATCATCTTCAGTTTATACATAAAGACACATGAAATATCTCTGATTACTGTGAATTAATGTATTGTCAATGTTTTATTTTGTAGATCATTCACGAGAAGTCTTGGAGCAATTAGTAGGCCCAAACAAATTAAAGCAAGTAACATGGACTGCTTATTGATGCTTATCCAAGATATACTCTTCATACTGTCAGGAAAGGATGGTCTTGGAGAATGGCTTTCCAACATATAATATGGTTTGTGACTTAACAGACCCTTAATGGCTTTAATAGTGCTATTATTCTGTGTTTGTTTAATAAGTCATTGTCTTAGAATTTTAATCCTAGCATGCCCCTCTGATAGATTTGGGGGTAGGGAGAAAGAGCACTGTGTTTGTTTCTTAACAAAGATTTTAAATTACCTGTTTTCCCTGGAGATTTTCTACCTAAATATTTGAGCTGTTGTAAAAGAAATGTACCAATGTGGGATAAATTTTAAGTAAAGGTATTTCTAAAAGTATAACTATCTTTCTAGCTATTTTCTGGCTCCTGCCTTCCTGAAGTATTTAAATGCCCATTGGACAAAATAACTAAACAAGATGGAGACAAGCAACCTACTAGATACAGAGTTCAAGATACTGGTTATAAGGATGCTCAATGAACAGAGGGGAAGAATAGATGAACTTATAACTTCAACAAAGAGATAGGAAACATAAAAATTGAGCTAGAAACATAAAAAAGAACCAGGCTATATTTTATACTTGACATGTGACATATACAGTAGTTGTGTTTACCACAGTTTTTAATTAGAGAATATGAAATACAGTACATATAATTAATACAAAACTAGAAGATCCAAAAGTAAAAACTAGGTCTTCTTCCCACCCTAGTCTACCAGCTATCTCGTACCCTTTCAGAAGGCAACCATTTTACCAGTTTCTTATTTATCTTTCCAGGGATAACCTAAATATATACTGCAAGCAAATGTATTTTATACACATACATACGTATGTAAGTATTGTCAAACAAACTCAAAAAGACTCTGGAGGCTTTGCTAGAGAAAAAAAAAAAGACAAATATTTATTCAAGGGTCCTAGAGTTTGCACACTGGAAACACAGCTAGGCAGACCCCGAATTATATTCTGAAGAAAAAAGTTAAGAGTTCTTATAGTAAAAGTCACATTCCTGAGAATAGAGCCCTGCATTTTTAGCTCTAGGTTGTTTTTGTTTGTTTGTTTTTTTTTAATATATATATATTTAAATATATTTTATTGATTTTTCACAGAGAGGAAGGGAGAGGGATAGAGAGCTAGAAACATCGATGAGAGAGAATCATCGATCAGCTGCCTCTTGCACACCCCCTACTGGGGTTGTGCCCGCAACCAACGTACACCGGAATCGAACCTGGGACCTTTCAGTCCTCAGACCGACACTCTATCCACTGAGCCAAACCGGTTTTGGCTTCGCTCTAGGTTTGGTCCAGGATGGTTATTAGCCAAATGTCAGTAGTCTGGATGCTGGATGCCAGGGTGTCTGGAGGATGGGCACCAGGAGGTCTGACCATATCCTGAGTCCTTAGCGGGTTATCCAAAGGTAAGTAAATGCCCCGGCATTGATAGAGGATGGGAAAATTCAAAAGTTTATGTTCCTAGGCTAGTTAAGACAAGAAATATAATTGTTTTCTTATGGCTCACCTTCATACTTTAAAGCGACTCCATTTTGTATTTTCTCTTTCTTCATTGTTTTCTTTTTTTTATCACTTAAAATTTTCCCCCCAAAATTTTATTTTATTTATTGGATATTTTCCCATTGATTTAAAAAATACATATATATTTTATTGATTTTTCACAGAGAGGAAGAGAGAAGGATAGAGAGCTAGAAACATCGATGAGAAACATCGACCAGTTGCCTCCTGAACATACCCTACCAGGGATGTGCTTGCAACCAAGGCACATGCCCTTGACCGGAATTGAACCTGGGACCCTTCAGTCAGCAGGCCGATGCTCTATCCACTGAGCCAAACCGGTTTCGGCTGATTTTTTTTTTTTTTTTAAGAGAGAGTGGAAGGGACAGGAAGAGACAGAGAGAGAAAAGCATTGCATCGATTGGTTGCCTTTGAATGAGACTGAACCCAGGACCAGTGCTCCAACCACTGAGCAAAACTGGCAAGGGCCCTATCTTCATTCTTTTTCTCAATATATACATACATCTTTTTTGCATAGTGGTATTATATATTTTTTATTGTTTTTTTACAGAGAAGAAGGGAGAGGGATAGAGAGTTAAAAACATTGATGAGAAAGAAACATCGATCAGCTGCCTCCTGCACACCTAGTACTGGGGATATGCCTGCAACCAAGGTACATGCCCTTGACCAGAATCAAACCTGGGACCCTTCAGTCCACAGGCTGATGATCTATCCACTGAGCCAAACCAGTTAGGGGTACATAGTGATATTCTATATACATTCTCCTTCACATTGTTCCGCTCTTATATCATAGTGTTTTTTAAAAAAATATATAATATTCTAAAAACCTGGGATGTGTAGTGGTGGCAAAATCAATTTCTAACTAACCTTAGTAAACCATAAAGAGTCATATGGTGTCTGTACAGACTATACTGGAAATTCTAAAATCTTTATTTTTATCCTTAGTTGTCCATTAATACCCTATTATGTACTAAATACTATAGTCTTCTGTATTTTATATTTTTGTTTGTTTAATTCAACACATCACATAGTTGTTCTCAACTACAGAAACCAACTCAGCTACGATATCTAATTCTCTCCATAATTTACTTGTTGCTACCACTGGGCACTGCCTTTTATAATTATAATCCTACTAGAGGCCCAGTGCCAAAGTCGCATGAGACCTAGACCCAGTGCACCGTAGGACCCAGCATCAAGTCCCGCCAGCACCATGGTACCCATCAATGCACCTCCTGGTGACTGCTCTTTAATAGTTAAGGCATTATGACCTCTGGGTTTTTATTATATAGATAGTAGTAAAATTAGAAAAAAAAATTACAGATAAAGATTTATATATTTGGCATAATAAAGAACTAGGCACATGACAAAAGTCTAAATCTTCATATTTTGAAAACAAGATTTGTCATTTCACAGGAACTACATTCTTCAAACTGGAGAGTCTTCTAGGGTTGAACCCAAACATAGGTCTATCCATACTTGGAAGCATTTGACAGTTCAAGGCTGGAAATCCCACACTGCGCTTGTTGTCAGTCCATTGTTTTCCTGCCTAGTAGGTTCTGGAAGAGAATATTCTACCACTTTGTGCAGCTGATGCTGAATGCTGTGTCCTCTGAACTGGGGCCGGCCGGGGTCACCAATCAGTACTTGAGTTTTGTGAGTCCAAAAGCAATCCTTCAGCCATTGATGAAGACTATCTGCAAGGTCTTCATCATAAAACATATCTCCAAGCACAACAAGGTCCCACTTATCAAGATAATCCAAATCCAAAATATTTTTGGTTAAAATGGGAAAAGGTTTCAGTTGGTTCAATTCACAATTCAGTGTGATAGCCATTCCTGCAACTTTAGGAAAGAACATGATGAATTGGTAATATACTAGACTGTTTGAATTCCCTATTGATTAATTTATAGTATCTCAATGTTTTCTCCCTTTAAAAAATTCTTTTAAAATATATTTTTATTGATTTTTTTAGAAAGAGAAGAAAAGAAAAAGAGAAACACTGATGTGAGAGTGAAACATCGATTGGCTGCCTCCTGCACCAATTGGTTGAGCCTGCAACCCGGGCATGTGCCCTGACCAAGAATCAAACTGGCAACCTTTTGGTACACAGGCTGACCCAAGCAACTGAGCCACACTGGCCAGGGCAAAGTTGTGTGTGTGAGAGAGAGAACTAGCAGTTGCGCCCTGACCAGGGATCAAAGCTGCAACCTGGGCTGAAACCAGTTTGGCTCAGTGGACGGAGCATCAGCCTGCGGACTGAGGGGTCCCAGGTTCGATTCCGGTCAAGGGCATGTGCATTGGTTATGGGCACATCCCCGGTGGGGGGTGTGCAGGAGGCAGTTGGTTGATGTTTCTCTCTCATCAACGGTTCTAGCTCTCTATCCCTTTCCCTTCCTCTCTGTGGAAAATCATTAAACTATATTAAAAAAAACAACAACAACAACAACTGCAACCTGGGTATATGCCCTGACTGGGAATCAAATAGGCCACCCTTCAGTATACAGGATGAAACTCCAACCTACTGAGCTATACCGGCCAGGTTTCCTTTTTTTGTTGAAAGATGTTTTTAGGTAAGAAAGCCTAAAGTTTATGCCAATGTAAGCTATTTATTGTGATTTTCAAATATATAAATGGATATCCTGAATGCAAAACAAACAAAAATACACTTGGAAATGTTGGAGTTTAAGGAACATTTGTTGATCTCAATAACACTAAGTCTGGTTTGTTACAGGAGAGAGGGAAACAAGCCTTGGGCTTGAGCAAGATGGCAAGTTAAAACTGAGCCCGCTGTATAAAATAAGGATCTTCAAGGACTAGATCCTCAGTGAAAAGGAAGACTAGAAGAAAATCAGATAAAATTAAAACTTATCTGTGTAGTATAGGCTATCAAATTGAGGCATCATAGATATTTATCCTGGAAGGGGAAAAAAACAGGATGAGCTTTACCGACTTTTAAATATGAAATCCTTACTAGGGTCTATGTCGTTGGCCAAGATCCTCGATGCCCCACTCATCTTAGCAGCGATAGCCGTAGCTCCACATCCACTCCCGAGATCTAACACAGATTTTCTTCTGACAACATCAGGATTATCCAAAAGATACCTAAGTTAGAAAAAAATGGGGAAAGCATGGGAGAAATTCAATAGAGCTGTTCAAAAAGAAAATAATCTCCTTGGGTTCAATGAACAAAGAAATAATAGAACTTAGCAGAAGCATTTGGTCTGTCTTGGCAAGTTTGGCCTGACCAGAGTGAGACAAAATGTCCATCTCAAGAGCTGGACAAAGGTGGCAGAGAGAGGACCTAGTCATTTGATTACTCTTCAGCGTGTGTGAAGAACAGTACCACAGTTACTAATCAGGTGCTTCAAGTCAACTGTTTAAAAGCTTTGAACATTTACTGTGATCCAGAACTAAGAATCCAGACTGACAAAATATTACTATAATCAGGACTCAGTACATTAGAGCCAAAACCCACCATCTCCTTTTGACTGTTCATCAGCGTGATTTTATCTATGGTTTGAATTGTCTTATAATGACCATCCAAGTCCAGTTCAACCAAAGAATTTGGACCAGGGCTAAGTGATTACCAAACTACTGAAGATGAGTGGGAAACACTGAAATAATGAATTTCAGTGGACACTTGATCTTAGCATGAGAATAATGAAGAAGAGCAGGGACTATGGCAAAGTGGAGGTGTGCGTGCCATGTCTTAAAGGGACAGCTGCTACCCATCTTCAGGTAATTGTTGCCACACAGAAATCCCATGTTCTCAGAGATGATTCCTGTTTTGCAAATCAATGCATATTTTCAATGAAATCTCTCAGGTTTTAAATGTTAGCAACCGATTTTTAAAAAGAAGTGTGTTGAGAAGCCAGAGCTGGTGTATTGAATTAAAAACATGCAGAGTATGGGCCAGTGAATGAAGAGACCCAAGCCATGCACACCAGAGCAGCAGGTGGCTAGCTCCCGCTGTGTGGCAGCTTCCACTTTGGGAAGGTGAAAACACGGGTCATTTTGATTGAAGGTGGTTTCAATACACCCACAAAAGAAATAGAATCATAAGATTTACTGCTTCCAGATCCCAGAAGCAAGGAGGTACAATGAGCTGAGGGGAGGGCAGTCTTCTGTTCCAGGTCACAAGCTGGAGGTAGAGAGGGTGACACATAGGTGAATTGGGCAGAGGTCACTAACTTTTCGAGGACTTAACACTAAGTGATTATTCTAAAAGGTCACCTGGGAAAATCAAGTTGGGAACTTATAGCAGACATCCTAAACTCAGATCCTTGTAAACATGTCCAGATTCAGTGTAAGCAGGGTTATGTGAAATGCCCAGGCAGCAACTCTCTTATCACAATAAGTAAAACCGAAACAAAATACATCTGTGGGTCACCAGTTTGCATTCTCTTGATTCACACAGTCTCTCAAGGATTTGACTGTGTATTTGGAGTTGATAAACAATAGCTGTAATAGAAGACAGTCACTTGTAATGCCAGTACTTTTCAAATATGATGTGAACAGTAAATCTTGGGAATTTGGCAACACAACAATCAGAAAATGGAAATCGTTTGATACCACCTGGAAAGCTTTCCATCCTCAGTCTTCTTCTCCCCAAAGCTCTATGTTTGCATTTTGCTTTTCATTCAAGACTACATATAGCATTAACTCTGTCCGGCCATACCATTCATGTGAAAGAGAAGTCCTTACCCTTTTTGTTTTCCAGCTCTGTAACCTCGAGATATAAACAGATGAAAACATTTACCAATCCAAGAGCAAAGGCTGGATGGAAAGCTGAAAGTTCTAGTCTTTGTTTCAGCGGCTGTGTTTTAATAAAAAGCATAGTGTGAATGTGAGCAAATGTCCTAACGAGCTCTGCAGTGCGAGAGGTGGAAGGAGGGGCCTTACAATGCAGATTCGGGTTCTGACTTCACCTGAGATGTTAATAAACCCCCAGCGAAGAGGGAGTCTTGAGCAGCCCATTCACTCAGGTATCTTCCTGAGGACACTGTGAAGAGGCAGTGATGAAGGGTGTGAGGCCTCAGGAGCAACATTGACAGGCTAGTCTGGGAGAGCTGAAGGTCTGGGACCCCTGCACTGGCCATACGTCATGAACCATGAGCCTGAGAACAGTGTAAGGTCTCGATATTTATAGCTACCTCTGGTCTTGATGGCTGACCCGAGGACTTCTCTTGGGAAAAGAACTGTATTTGGGGGAATACCTTGCTAAGCTTGGAGTAGAAAGTAAAACTATGTAACAAAGCAGCCAAAAAAAAAGTGTAACCTGTTCAAAATTAAGAGAATGTGGGTTTTTATGTGTGTGTGTGTGGGGGGGGAGGGAATGCAGAGTTGAAATGGCTGAAGAGAGAAAGGACTGTTGCAAACTTAAAGGTTCCCGTTTCAGTTGGGCCAGTACCTAGACAGGGCTTGGCCTCCTGGCCAGTAGATGGCCCAGTAAGGATCGCTGTGGGGCCACAGGTCAGCTCTTTCCCACCAAAACTTGCATCTGGGGGTCAAAAGCCGCAACCGGATTTCAGGGGTGAGGCTGCCACTGCAGGTGACTTCAGTGTTCTCCTCCAAGAAGGCTTTCACCTCAGGGTCCAGAAAGCTCCCATTCCCTCTCCAGGCACAGCGGCCCCAGGGACACAAGGAAAGACCACTGCTTCTCCCGGCCTTCCGAAAGACACCGCCGTGGTTCAGTGCCAATGTCCTCCAAGCTGGGCTCACAGCCATCAGTCCTTTTCCAAAGCACAGGTTCCGTCACCACCGCTGATGAGAGCTGCTCCTCAGGGGCAAAGTATAAGGATCTGGCTGCCAACTTGATGCCAACTGGAATCTAGATTTCTAAAAACAGAAGTAATACTGTAAATTCCAAGGCTCACCGACATTTCCATATCCTATCACATAGTAAGAAAATATTATCAGTGTAGGTTCTGTAAGCTCTGTAGCAGATGATCCACAAGTACAAGTTCATTTTATTTTATTTTTTTAATGTATTGATTTATAGAGAAAGGGAGAGAGAGAGCAAGAAAGAAACAATTATTTGTTGTTCCACTTATTTATGCATTTGTTGGTTGATTCTTACATGCTCTGACTGGGGATGGAACCTGCAGCGTTGGCATATGGGGCAATACTCTAACCCACTGGGCAGTACAAGCTCATTTTAGATGAAAGCCCTGGTACATTAATTTAGGAAAATCCAATCTTTTAAAAGCATGCCTTTTTACAACGGAATCCTTTGTACAAGCATTTCGAGAGAAATCTTCAGGAACAATGCCTGTTACATAAAATAAGCTATACCTTTAAAGTTCTTAGATATATAACCTAGCCAGTTTAGCTCAGTGGACAGAGCACTGCCTGTGGACCAAAGGGTCCTGGGTTCTATTCCGGTCAAGGGCATGTACCTTGGTTGCAGGCTCCTCCCTGGCCTACACCCTGGTTGGGGCTCATGCAAGAGGCAACCAATCCATAAGTTTCTCTCACATCAAAATTTCTGTCCTTTCCTCTTTCTTCCACTCTCTCTAAAAATCAATGGAAAAATATCCTTGAGTGAGGATTTAAAAATAAATACAGTGTAATTTAAATAAAAACAAAACAAAACAAAAAAACCCTAGCTGCTTTGGCTCAGTGGATAGAGTATCAGCCTGTGGACTGAAGTCCCTGGTTCAATTCAGGTCAAGGGCACCTGCCTAAGTTACAGGCTTGATCCCCAGTAGGGGGAGTATGCAGAAGGCAGTCAATCAATGATTCTCATCATTGATGTCTCTATCCCATCATCTCTAAAATCAATAAAAAAAATATATTTTTTAAATAATGAAGTTCTTTCATACATTTAGTCACCTTTAAGCAGGCACTGTGCTTGGCAACTATGAACAAAATAAAAGACTAAGTAGCTTACATTCCCTAGGTGGGTTAAGCCTAATGAGCAGGCAAACACAGTCTTGCCTTTATGAAGTCCAGCCAAGAGTTATGTAGGCTAATGAAGCATAATTTTCTATAGGGAGAGATGTACAAATTATACTGACCACACACTATTTCAGTAATGATTGTCATAGCATAAAACATCTATGTAAACAGATTCAGGTATTTTTTCCTTAAAAAACAACAACAACACAAAAATAAAAACATTAAGGATTTCATTATAATAAAAGAACAGCAACTCCCAAGTCTCTTTGTATACATATGTGATGATTCATCGTTACCAAGCCTGGTTGAAAAGACTTGTTCCAAAGAAAACCACCTTGAAAAGAAAAAGTAGGAATGAGAAAGGGCAGTTCTATTTTTTTCAACTTATTTCATTTAAAAAAAAATTATTTTTTGAGCTCATGAGTAAATTCCAAAATAGCAATACAGAAAATTTTAATATTTCTTTCTACTCAACACTCTACCTTTGTTTAGCTTCCTATAAATAAACTAGATTAAAAAAAACAATACCCCTAAGTTCAATGCTAAGTACTTTCAATTATATATTTTGAGCACATAATAATGCTGAGACAATTTTTTTAAACATGTTATTTCCAGTCAGAGCTTAGCAATTACTTTAGCTTCACATTATTCTGTCACAAACAATAACCAAATGGCCTAAGTAGCTAAAATCATAAAGCTATTTTAAGCCAAGTCAATGGTATGTATAAAGTTAATATAAAATAATTATACTGGTTCACATTTGTTTTGTACCTACTAGAAATGTGCCAAAATACTAAGATTTAAGAAAGAATGAGATCCTTGGGCAAAGAGGGAAGAGGAGTCATATAATAAAAAATTATTAGAAAAACACCATAGGTAAAAAGAAATATGCCTACAATTTAACCAAATCAAGAAGGAAAGGGGAGTACATGGTTAGGGTTGATGTCATTCAGGAAAATAAGTTTACCTTTCCACCACAAACCTGTTCACTGCAAGAGCTCAGCATCAGCTCTCCATTCTATTATTCTCCCATTAACTTTAAAAAAAAAATATTTTTTTAAATTGATTTTTTACAGAGAGGAAGGGAGAGGGATAGAGAGTTAAAAAAAATCATGAGAGAAACATCAATCAGCTGCCTCCTGCACACCTCCTACTGGGGATGTGCCCGCAACCAAGGTACTTGACCGGAATCGAACCTGGCACCATCACAGGCTAACGCTCTATCCATTGAGCCAAACCAGTTTTGGCCCATTAACTTTCTTTACATGGAACATAAACCCACATTTTTGACAACAGAACACTACATTGCTATTTAATCCAATAACAAACAATAGGAAAACAATGAAAAGGTTAGGGCTGGACTAACTTTTGGCTATTTCAATACCCCTGAAAAATAGGGGCAGAATGAGTCATTAAGAAACAGTAAAGAGCACTGTATTATGTAATGTGATTTATAAAACATTTAAAATTTTCTGTCAATGGAAAAAGCCGTATTTGAAAATTAGGAATGTTTTGATCCTGAATTTTTACCAAAATGGTACCCCAAGCCACGCGTACATTGGAACAAATAACAAACTCACACTCACTTGTATCACCTCAGTTTAATAATCCAATAAATGACAAAAAAGACAAACATATAGCACACCAGCTTTGTTTGGCTCCCTCTGGATAAAATCTTCAGTTTTTCCATAGCTCTACCTAGGAATCCAGTTGTAGAGTCAAATTGTGAATCCATTTCGGCTAATAATTTATTTTGTGTTTTCACTTCCTGAGCTGTTACAGCTGTTAATGGTAAGATCTCTTAATCTTAGAGATCTTAGATTACAGCTGTTACTTTGTGCCTCAGGCTTTCAGTGTGTTTATTTTCTTCTCCACGGGCACTGTATCCACTATGAGCACAGCCATAGCTCCATAGCTGCCGGAAGATACACCTTCCCCCAGGCCTGCACCACTCATCCTGGCAGAGAGAGAGGGGAAAGGCAGGCGGAGTGGGGGCAGGAAGGGGTCAGGGGTCACCAGACCCCACTTTCGGGGAACAGGGCCCGGTGAATCGCCAACTTCTTCCCCTGCATCGCCACAACAGAAAGAGCAGTTTTAAACACGAATTATACACGTAGTTGTTTGGGACCTCTGCTCTGTCCTGCAAAAAAATGTTTTAAATAGTCTTATATTCACCCAAGTCAGAGATTTTCAACTGGTGAACCTCAAGAATTGTTAAAGCTTGCAATACTGTTTCCCAAAGTGTGGTATGTGTACCCCCAGGGGTACGGGAAGAGTTTGGTGGGGGTACGCATTGCACCGGAGTTTGGTGGGGATATGCATTGCACCGCGCTTAGCTGCGCCTAATTCTACATTCTCATGAGTACTAGGGGTACTCAGCGTTATGAAAATTATAAAAGGGGTACACATATGTCAAAAGTTTGGGAAACACTGCCTTAAAGTGTCAAATTAAAAAAAAAAAGACAATAGCCAACACAAAAATAGCAGTCTGGTGTGAATGAATCAAAATGATATCTATTTTGCATGGAACCGGTTTGGCTCAGTGGATAGAGCGTCAGCCTGCGGACTGAAAGGTCCCGGGTTCGATTCCGGTCAAGGGCATGTACCTTGGTTGCAGGCACATCCCCAGTGGGGGGTGTGCAGGAGGCCGCTGGTCGGTGTTTCTCTCTCATCAACGTTTCTAACTCTCTGTCCCTCTCAATTCCTCTCTGTGTAAAATCAATAAAATATATTAAAAACACAAAAAAACAAAATGATACCTATTTTGTGGAAACCAGTTTGGCTTAGTGGATGGGGCCTCGCTTGGCCTGTAGACTGAGGGGTTCCGGGTTCAGTTCCAGTCAAGGGCATGTACCGTGGCTGTGGGCGCATCCCCAGTGGGGAGTGTGCAGGGGGCAGCAGCTGGTCGATGTTTCTAACTCTCTATCCCTCTCCCTTCCTCTCTGTAAAAAATCAATAAAATATATATTTTTTAAAAATACCTATTTTTTGGTCAGATTGGCAAAATATATACATTTTGTTGTGCCTAAGACTTCTTGCAATTAGCTTCTATGTGCCAGGAGATGAAAAAGGTCGCCAACCTAAGTATTTAGATCAGGGCCACAGTTCAAACGCCTCCCAAGGGCCTGGCTGGCACTGAGCGAGGGGTGCAGGCGGAGCGTGCTGGGGCCGAGGGGCGGTGGCTGCCGCACACGGGCCCACAGGGGCCCAAAGCCTTGCCAGGTTTTCCCCTTTCCCAGAATAATATAGATGCACAAGCTCCCCCCGTTAAACGTTTGCGGTGAATTAGGTTACAGACCACCCGGCAGGACAAAATGCCGCTCGGGGCTCCAGCCTGCGAACTGGGGTACCCTCCCCAGGGGGGGTCAGCACTGAGGGTACCTGGCGCGGCGCTGCGGCCCGAGGCCCCACTGGACTCCTGCTGTCGGGAAGGACCGGCTCCAGCCCAGGCTCGGAGCGAGCGCCCGAGGCGGTGTGGGCTCGGACCCTGCCCGTCCCACCCAGCACCGCCGTTCGGACCGTGCTCAGCGGACCGCTCCCAGCGGGTGCAGACGGACCGGGGGACCCGGCGCGCTCACCGGGAGGGTTCCCACAGGGGCTGTGACCACTGTGTCCCCGGAGGACAGCACCTTCCCTCCCGCCGCACCGGCTCTGCGGACCCGCCGCGGGGCCCAGCAGGGGGCCCGGCTCGTCTTCTCCCGCACTTTCCCCGGCGGCGGCCGCGACCCCGGCGGCGCGGTGACCCCGGCGGCGGCGGTGACCCCAGCGGCGGCCCCGCCCTCCTCCCCAGCAGCGCTTCCGCTCACCGGCCCGCGCTTTCTTAAAGG